GTGGTCGATTGGGTTTTCTTTGGCTGTTTTTTGGAAGTAGATCATTGTACTTTACTTCCTGGTCCATTTTTAGTCTGGAAGCACCACTGAAATCGGCTCAGCATCTTGGCAACATGAAAGCCTGTGAGCCTGCACTGACCAGTGAGGGAGTGATGGCTATGTGTGAGGCACATTGGCCACACAGGGTCTCCTGCATGCAAGGCGAGAATGCCACCCGAATGACTTTCTACTGCCCCCTTTGGAACTGACATACCCAAGTTCATATCACATAATTGGGGCAGGACTTTGGGTGGGGAACTTAACCTCTTCGACCTATTAGGAGCTGCATTTCACGTAGGGAGAGATTGGAATTCAGAGAGGTTATATTCTCCACCCAAAGTCATGCCACAATAATGTTATATTATCTGTTGTTGTTATGTGCTGTGGGGTCATTGAGACGCATAGCAACCCTATATACAATAACCCGAAACCCTTATATATCCTGTGCCAATCTTATTGTCTCCAACACACCTACCCCATTACCGCAGTCATTGAATCAATCCATCTCCTCCTCTCCTGCACTGTCCCTCCACCCTCCCAAACATGAGGTCCCTCTCCAAGAACTGGTCCTGCCTTCTAACATGCCCAAAGTATGTCAGACAAAGCTTCTGAATCCTTGCCTCCAAGGAGTAGCCTGGTTTCACCTTCTCTAGGATGAACCTGTTTGTTCACTTAGCAGTCCATGGTATATTCAATATTCTTCTCCAGCACCATAGCTAAAAGATATCCATTCTCTATCATTCCTAGTCATTGTCCAGCTTTCTGATGCATAGAAAGTAATTGCAAAGACCATGCCCTGTATCAGGCACACTTTAGTTTCCAGAGTGACACCATTGCTCTTCAGTACTTTGGAGAGGTCTCTGACAGCAGACTTTCCCAGTGAAATTCACCTTTTGATTTTTTTGGCTGCTCGTACCAAGAATGTTGATTGTGGAACCGAGTAAACTGAAACTATTAACAATCTCAATATCTTTACCATCTATCACGATGCTGCCAATTGGTCCAGTGGTGAGAATACTTGTTTTCTTTTTTTAAAATTAATGTTAATGAATATTTACAGAGATATTGGATTTCCACTCATTCATTTTTGCCTTTTTCTCCCTGCCCCACCTGTCCCCCCAGAATCCTTGTTTTCCTGATGTTGAGCTTCAATCCAGTCAATCCATATTGAAGGCTTCAATCCTTGACCTTCTGCAGCAAGCTCTTCAGGTCCTCTTAGATGGTACCAAATAACAACTCTGATATTTTGCATCCTGATTTTCCTTTGGAGAATGTTCTCATGCCATGAAACACCATGGGATGGGTCTCCTTGCTTTTTCCAGGAACAGCCCTGATGTAGGAATTGCTTTTGGTTGGAAACACGCCTTGAGTTGCCTATTGGGACCCCTCCCTGTTCAACGTGAAGGAATTATTCATGAAGATGCACGAAGAGGGGCCTGAAAAATCAGCTGGGCCAGAGGAAGAATGAGAAAGGGAGAGATTTATGAGAGAGAAAATGTATATCCATTACATCTCCACCAAAGCAGAAATATAACAATAGATCAACAGAGTATATGTTTATGGGACGTTGTTGTTATGTGCCATTGAGTTGCCACACAGATCCTATGCACAACAGCTCTGAACCCTGCTCTATTGTATGCCAGCCAACCTTATTGTCTCCGATACACCTACCCCCATTACCCCAGTCACTGAATCAATCCATCTCATCAAGGGTCTTCCTTTCCTGCGCTGTCCCTCCACCCTCCCAAGCATGACGTCTCTCTCCAAGGACTGGTCCCTTCTTGCAACAGGCCCAAAGTATATCAGATGAAGAAAAATGTCTAGCTCACATAACTGAAAGGACACATTCAAACCATAAAGTCACATACTCTAGTTTTCGTGTCTAGATGGACCTGGATTCACATCATTCTTGTTTCTGCAGTAAGATCCCAAAGAGGACAGATGCTGCCTCCTTTCCCTCATGCCCTTCGTCCCCTCCAGCTTGGGAGATTGTATTACTTAATCATGTAGCATCCTCCACCACCTCGTCCTAGAATGCTACGCCATCATCCATCCAACAATTCCTTCTATCCTGTCTCCTGCCTTCCCCTCTAAATGTCTTGACTCTCCTTACCTCAGAGAGGCTGGGCCTAGATCTCACTCATAAAACTCCACCATTCATTGTCATGGATTCAATTCCTACGCATAGATAACATCCACATATGAATCTCTAGAACTTCCAGGGGGCTTCCAAAGCCACCAGAAACATGGAGCAGCTTGCTCAGCAGCACAACGCACTTCAGAGCTGCTGGAGGTGCAGTGTGTCACGTGTGGGGTTGCGAACGGAATGCCGCCATCTGTGCCTCAGAGAGCTGGGCGTTGACTAAGGCTGATAGAAGCGCAATCCGTGCCTTTGAGCTGTGGTGCTGGAAGAGTGTTGAGCATGTCACGGACTGCCAGGAGAACAAACAGGTCTGTCCAGGACAGGGGCAAATTAAGCTTCTCCTTGGAGGCAGGACTCTGAAGCTCTGCCTCACATACATTGGGCATGTGGCCAGGAGGGATCAATCCTTAGAGAAAAACATCGTGTTTAGAAGAGCAGGGGAACAGTGCAGGAGAGAAAGCTCTGGATGAGATGGATTGACACTGACTGGGGTAGTGAGGGTGAGTGTGCCAGAGACAGTGAGACTGGTTCAGGATAGGGCAGGGTTCAGAGCATAGGGTCACCAGGAGTCACAGGCAATTCAATGACACCTAACAACAACAACATCCCATGAAAAAAGGTGGACAATCTCCTTGGAGACTGTGAATGAGATTCACAAGTGCATGAGACTCACAATGTAGATCTCACTAGTTCTTGAAAATTGTACTTATTTAGGACACTGAGCTTTCCTAATTGACAAATCTCACAGACTGTGTGATCCTTCAGTGGTGTTTGACACAGCTGATAACTCTCCTCCCTGAAATTCTTTTTTCTCTACATTTTGTGGCAGAAGCTGCTAACTATCTGTTCAATATTCAGCCTTTCCAACTTCTTTACCAACTAGAGATTTCATACCTAATGGAGAGAAGGAGTGAGATAAAAGAGTAATGACATTTCTTAGCTCCTATGAGGAGAA